TAGGGGGTAGACAGGAGCGGTTGGACGTGATGATCTCGGAGGTCTTTTCCAACTGAGCGATTCTGTGATTCTGTGATTCTGTGATATGGATTAGAATCGAGATGAGCTCTGGTCAGAGAGAGATCTGCACACTGATCTCACTGTAGACTTGGAGTGCAAGTCAATGTATACATTTAAATTTAGTAGGAAAACACAGGGTTGTAGGATCTTTTGCCATGGAAAGGTTTAGCACCCTTAATTTGTCTATAAACATATGCTAGCCTTCTCGAGAAAGCAGTGCAGTGCGGTGCTTTTAACAAATAATTTCGCAGAGTGATGTGCTTTTGTGATGACTGTTTAACCTTGAGAGATTTTGCTCCATGGTTTCAGCAAGGATTACAGTAAATGCTCAATTTAGGTAAAGTCACAATCTAATTAAACAAATTCAGTCTAAATCCCTGCTGGGCCAATGAAGATTTGTCTGTCAAATACCTCTAAGCATTTTCATTTTCTATAGCAACAGTTAATTGGATATGCAACTGTCACTTTAAATGCTTTAAATGAGGCTGAGGGGATTAGTAATTGAATGCTTGGATTAATGAATGGGATTAATAGCTGGCTTTGCTATGCTGTTCCTTGCTCACAGCTATGTTCTTGATAACTGTCTACCATGATCAGGTGGATGGAGTAGTGGTCTACAACTGCAACATAGTTGTGATATTTTGATATCAGTTTGATATCAGTTATGATACAGATTTGATATGATCAGTGCATTCCTGTTGATATGTATAACTATTTTTCATACTGTGGCCAGCAAAAGATTATGTTTTAAATATTAAATGCAGAAAATCTAAAAAGTAGCCATGTAATCTCCCCAGTTAGGACTTGGAACTGGAGGTCTCAGTCGTTCTCCAGTTAAATGTATATAATTGTCTTTTATGGTTTGAGTTAGAAAGCAAACTGCAATATGGTGAAGTCACATCAAAGGCTGTGAGTGAAGGCTGACAAAGGAATTTCTGTGTGAGGTGGCAGGGCTGCAAAGGAAGTGGAAGCGGTGAAGTCTGTGCACCACCAAAGCGACTGCTCTTGGAGAAAGATATCAGACTTCAAAGCCAGACTCAGGTAGAGGAATGATGGTGCTTGAATCACCCATCTTGGTGGAAACTGAAGAGAAGCATGAGAGTTTTGAGACTCTGGTAGGGAAGTGGTTCTCTGTGTGACTTTTTAGATCCCACTTCAGTACTATATCGGGTCCAGACATATGGTACGCTCCATGGGGTTGTCCCAGAACGTCACTGTAAATAAAATGGGTTTCAGGGACAGCTAACCTGTACCTAGGGGCTGGGAACTTAACCTTTCATTTGCTTTTTAAGTTGCGAATTCCAAGATGCTCCTGTTGGCATAAGAAGAAATCTTGGTGTTTGTGTCCAGCTGAGCTCTGTAGTGCTTGAGGAAGAAGGTTGTAAGGAAAACTTTCTGTGGCACTGAGATGAATACATAAACTGCAGAATTGTGCAATGAGTTTGTCATTTTGCCTTATATGTAGGCCTCCAAAACCATCCTAATGCATCCTTATGCATCGTACATCGAGAACTTTGGTTCTTGTTAATTAAGTTCCCTTCAGAAATAAACTGAGCCAGTGCATATTTGGAGTCTATGTTGAACACAGTTTAATAATACTTATTTCAGTATATTAAATTAGAACATGTTTCTGTTCTTACAAAGATTCTATCTTAGAAATCATCATCTGAGACAGCTAACAACACTGATGTTATAATTGCTTGTATTTATGATACGGTTATAAACAATTACAAAATAAATAATTATAATTATTTAGAAATACAAAATAATTATTGTAATAATAAATTTGTAGTTATGTTTATTGTATATCATATTACATATTCATATACCAGAAAAAAAACAACCCAGGAAATTCAAAGTTACACACTGCATATTTCAGCTCATAGAATATGCCAAGTCCATCTGAGGTGTGGGAATAGCTCTGTGACCCTTCCTCATTATCCCAAGATTTAAGCTTATGTTTTCAGGCAGAGCTCCAGCTGCATGCAATTTGGTATTCAGAAATCATTGTATTCATCAGCTTCTCTCTCCCTCATGATCTGCTTCTGCATGTGAACTCCATTTGGTTCAGGAAATAATTTTTTTTTCCTTCCTTCCTCTAGTTAGTTCCTATTAAAAAGCCCAACTCATCCTTGCCTAACCTCAACAGACTTTTTTCCTTTCGTTCATAATGCAGAGGCATTAATCTCTTTGAATGGTCCAGATCTTTCCAGCATTCGTTGTTTATACTCAGTTTTTGCTATACTTACTCAGTATTCAGACCAATGGTACCGTATTTGTCATACTCTTGAATATGTAAAAATGCCAAGCCAATGATAAAAGCCAGGGAAAGAAAATGTAGAATCCACTTTTTGGTCTCAGGATAACATTTCTTACTTCAGAATACCCTTTTGTAATTAATTTTGTTTTCAGACATCAGACTTTCCTCTTTTATGCTTTTATTTATGCAAAGCAAAACAGCTGTTTCAATAATCTTCTGAGGAAGCGACAGCTCTGGGAATGTGCTGTACGAGGAAAATTAGGGGAACTTTTCAGAACTTGGACCAAGAGTGAGATGCTCTTTTTAACCTCCCAGCCCAGTGGAACCTATCTGTCTTTAACTTTAGTTTAGATTTATGGTTTAGTAAAGTATTAGTTTACTTTAGTGTTCGCTCCTGAATGATGGCATAACTGAAAGTCGTAAGATAAGAAATTACACATCAACAGAAGAAATTAGATCTTATTCTAATTTCACATCTTTTAAATTATAATTATTAAAGCAAGGAAGTGTCTGACTGGAGAGGTTTTCAATTACAATGGAAGGAATGAGGACTGTTCAGCTTTGCTATTTTGTTCAGAGAATCAATGTCATATCCCCCTTCCATGCACATTCCCACCTGCCTGTTCAACCTTGGAAGAGACTTATTCCTCCCCTTTGGTTGCCCTCACTCCTATTTTGGGTGGCACGCATATATCCCAGTTAGATGTTTGTATCAAGCACTTTTTAAACTATGTAAATTGATATACATGGGAAGGTTTCGTAGATCAAAACACTTCATTTTCCAAGATGCATAATAGGTCTTTGGGAGTTTTATTCCTCATTAAATCACCAGTTATTTAACTGTGAAGGATGGGTGGCAACAGCTGGTAAACCTTTTGCATCATGAAGTACAACAATGCTTGTTTTAGTTAGCAGGATGATGAGGGCCTCTCTGACTAAATTAGGGGTAAGTAAGTTTTAGGGAAAATAAGTGAATAAATGTTGACGTGAAAAATTAAGGGTGCAGCTGCATTGCCATTATAGTTCTTTCTGGAGTGTATGTTTGAAGCAAACGTGTTGCTGATGCCTGCATTCCCCGCATGGATTTGTGCTACAGAGCAGGCTCAGTATGCACAGCCTGAGGTCTTTGTGGATGAAATCACTCAGATGATGTGTTCCAGTCATCCAGTTGATGTCCTTCAGCCACCAGTGGGCAGGTGCTATGGGGGGAAAGAACAGGAATAACACTTTTCCTGTTGTTGGTGGCATCTTGAAAAACTCCTGAAAGATGATAGGGAACACAACTGAATCCTGAAAAGGCCATGGAACTTCTACAGGCACCTGTATTTTCTGCCTTTTAAAATGTGGTATCATCAATTCTGTACAGCAGGAAGGGCAAAAATAGCTGCCCTGCTTTTTAGTGAAGGTAAAGGAACACCTTGCAGTTTAT